TTCAGAGACAAAGATTTATTTTTTCTCAGTTTTATTTGTTTTGCTAACACTATTGGTTAATAATTGGTCCTGCTCACCTGATGTGATATGGTTCTTCAGTAGTAGTTCCTGATAAATTACTTTAAGCTCTCTCCAACCCTTTCATTCCATTCTTTACATTGTGACCATTTGAAAGCAGAAATATAACCAAGCTACCACTTAAAATTTTTCAGTGATTTTCTATTGCTATTAGGGTAAAAACCAAAATTATTATAATGGAAACGAGATTTTAAGACTGGCCTATCACTCTATGCTAATCTCAGTTGTTCAACCTCTTGCCCCACTGGCTTTCCTGTCTTAGGGTCATTTCCAAAATCTGGACTGCTCTTCTCACTTTTCAGTAGTAATTCCCTAGAGGGGAGTCTGAGCAGGCACTTCTGGGATGCATCACATTGTTCTCACAGCGCTCTGTGATTTTTCTTAAGGTCAATTATGAGAGTATGTCTATAGTTAGGGCTATTTAATGTTTTGCTCCATCTGAAGTCAGAATCAGTGTTTGACCTCAGAACTTGACATCTTTCCTGGCATATAGTACATGCACATTAGAAACATTAGTTGAGTGGGTGAATGAATGCATTAATTTTTCAACGCCTTGTGGTTATGAGAATATTTCTTTTAACTTAAAAATGAAAGGAAAAAAACCTAAAAATTTTACAAATATTTAAGTCTGATAAACTCCCTTTTAGTATTATTTTGTTTTTGATCTTTTAGGTAGTAAAAGACAAAGTCAATGAATGAAGCAAATTGCACTGAGGTATCCCAATTTGTGTTGCTGGGACTTTCTACATCTATACCAATACAGCATTTCTTCCTTGCTGTCGCTACAGTGTTTTATGTAACAATTCTTCTAGGGAACCTCTTTGTTGTGTTTATAGTAAGCTTTGACCCTCATTTACATTCCCCCATGTACTTCCTTTTAGCCAACCTTTCATTTATGGATTTATGCTTTTCTACCGTAACAGTTCCTAAGATGATTTCTGACCTGTACTCTGGGCACAATACCATATCATTCCAGGGGTGTGTCATCCAGATATTTGTCCTTCATGTCCTGGGTGGATCTGAGATGGTGCTGCTCATAGCCATGGCCTTTGACAGATATGTGGCCATATGTAAGCCCCTTCACTACCTGACCATCATGAACTCACGGATGTGCATTCTGCTTCTGTCTAGTGCTTGGGTTTCTGGTCTCATTCACTCAGTAACCCAGTTGGCTTTTGTTGTCCATTTGCCTTTTTGTGGTCCTAATGAAATAGATAGCTTTTACTGTGACCTTCCTTGGTTTATCAAACTTGCCTGCATAGACAGCTACAGAATGGAGTTCTTGGTTACTGCCAATAGTGGGTTAATTTCCGTAGGCACTTTCTTTTTATTGATGATTTCCTATATCTTAATCCTGGTCACTGTATGGAAACACTCTTCAGGTGGTTTGTCCAAAGCCGTCTCTACTCTTTCAGCTCATATCACTGTGGTGGTTTTGTTCTTTGGACCATGCGTCTTTGTTTATATGTGGCCATTTCCCTCAGTGTCAGTGGATAAATTTCTTGCCATTTTGGACTTTATGATTACACCCATCCTGAATCCTGTCCTTTACACATTGAGAAACAATGATATAAAGATGACAATGAAGAGACTGAGTAGTCATCTCCTGAGTCTGAGGAAGATCTCCTGAACAACTTATAAGGGCGCAAATGATGCCTTCTATCAGCACCACTGTAAACACAATTTTTGAAAATTTATGCTATCTTGAGACAATTTATTGTCCTTAATCATGAGCTCAAACACCTTAGAAAGTTTATTCCAGTTTAGTAACCAATAATGTGAATATGTATTTAGTCTCTTACCTATGGGCTATTTTGCATAGTTTCATAACTTTAAAATATATAAAACATACTCTCATGTGGCTCACATTTTAACTAGTCCATAGAACATTCTGAGAAGTTTATCAACTTTATTCCACAGTGCCACATTTACAGATTTACTGGTATATACTGATATTTTCTTCTGTTACTAGGTTGGGAAATATTCTCATCTAAGAGAATGATTGGTTCCCATCACAGTTATTACTTGGCAAGCAGAGCAGTTTCACATTCTGTGTTGATTCAGGTTTGCAGATTTTTCATTTTCTTCCTTTGTACTGTTACCTATGTTAATAAATGTACTCAGTTCCATACATTTTGTAAGAAATTTAATTTGTTTCATAGAATATTGTGAAATAGTCACATACACATAAAATAGTCAAGTGGACAAAGATATTTTGTCACATACACATAAAATAGTCAAGTGGACAAAGTAGTGCTTTGAATGCCTTTTTGGGATCTGGTCACTAAGAGGTCAAAGATGGTCTTCTTTTTCTCAACCTTGAGTTTAACCATGCCCTTTAAAAGTGTGCTGGTGGTAAAAAAGTTATGAATTTAGAACAAATATTCAGTCAAAGAAAGTAGAACTAGGCTAGGATTGAAAAATGTTAAAGAGAGGGATATAATCTTGCTCAGCAATGGATCCAGTGCAGGAATGAACACCACTATATCGTCAACCATTAAGCAACCTATTCTTTTAAACTTCCAGGTAGGA